TTAAATTAAATAACAATTTAGACATTAAATTAAATAATACGCAACACGAGTTGCATTTCATCACAAATATAATTACTTGGAATAATTTAACAGAACACTAAATAAAACCGCGGCTAGGAAGTGACTCTGTGACACTTTCACTCCATACAACATGTAGATTCGTCGTGTTACCAAACATTGAGATTACAACGCTCTTAGTTGTTACTTTCTAATTCGATTCAAGCAACAATTTCGTTTAAGAAATCGATCTAAATCTGTGTTTCGTTTGTATGTGATCGAAATAGAATACTCCCCATGAACGATTGAAACCGTTCGATAAGTGGATAAAAACTGGTAATTCTACGTGGCAGTAACATTTCAAAAACATAAAATAAATTAAACATAAATGTTTAGAAATCAGTCCTAAGCAATGGGTTTTTTAAAGGTTAGTCTCTTTCTCGGATGTCTTTATCTAGTAGTTAAATAACAAATAAAATGTTTCGTGAACAAATTAAAATAAGTTTTTCAATCTAGGTTCCGCATATTTTGCGACCATAATTGAATCTTTATGGATTAGTTGGAGTCCATTTTAAGGGTAGTTATTTCGAGGTTGTAGTGTTTTTTTATGTTTACTACTTGATTTTTCTTTTGACAAACTAGTGTAACTGAATTCAAAAGTATATTCATAAACTATTGCTTGTTATCTAGTATTTCAACCAAAGGGTAAAAAATCTTACAACCTACCTCAAAATAAGAGTAAAATATTTAGTCGTAATTAGCACCCTCAAATTTCAACATCATGAAACAAAAAATTCATTCAAAACCAGGATGTCCGCAACTTTTTTACAAGTTCGACCATATGTTGACCAACAAACTTGCTACTCGCAACTTTAGTGGTCTAAGGTCAAGTTACGACCTAACGTTTAATTCCAAGGTGAAGACTTCGCGTCCGGAAACGCCAGCCCGTCCGGACCACCTTGGCTTTCAGTGTCCGGTTTTCGCTGTTTACGCATTTTGTTTCGGGTTTTGTTTTTCTTTTGTGTAGCCTGAAAGTTTGGATCATGACAGCTTCTCATAAAGAGTGGGACGAGGACAATATGCAAATGAAGATCTAAAAAAATTTCAATATTTTATGTATTATACACTTAAACATTTATTTTACCTATGCGAGTAGCTAGATTTGCATTTTACTCGTTGTAAAAGATAACCACCGCACCGTTGTATTCTCAATCTTTTACATTTATTTCTTTCGTGTGTTACAAAATTTATCTCTTCAATATTCATCATGACCTGTAATTAGTAATGAGTTAAAATGGCTCAAAATAGCCGATTACAGGAAGAAAATTCAATAAAATAATATAATTAAATTAAAATAATAAGTCTGTGAATGTTTCAATTATCGCAATTAATGTTTCCCCAATATATGTCATCTACACCATTACGTCATGATTGCTGTGCCACGTCTCTTAGTTGTGTTTCAACCTTCAAATCTGAAGGTTGCCATTTCGATCCCTAGCAGAGTTTTAAAGTTCTTTTTATTATAAAACCGTTTACATTTTTACAAAAAGAAAGACGTGTGTACCTCGCTGTACTGTATTTATAGTAAAGTTTGTAGATATAGGAGTCTTTAAAGATTTACAATATACAATTTCGCAAGATTGCCACGATCATTCACACCAGGATATTTTAGCACAGATTGCGTACACAAGTCAATTTATGGTTGTGCATTAATATGATTAATTTATGTTTAGTAATCTGTTACTTGTAATCCATTAAAAGGCTTTTATGATTGTTCAAATCACTAAACAATGGTCAACTCACCGTTCACTAATTACATTTTTCTAATAAACTATTCTAGAGGTTAGGTTAGGTTAGGTTTGGTAAGGATTACGTTGGCAATAAGGTATTTAAACTGTAGAATAGTAATTTTGCTGAATAATCTGGAAGGCAGGACCTATTAACTAAATTTAACAGATATTAAGTGCAAAGCACAGTTACACGGATCGTTAATACTTCAGAGGGCGAGTTTATTTTATTCCAAAAGTTACGGTTCTAAATATATTAACATGATGCACACTTTCCAACGTTTTAGGCAATTGAGGGAAACTAACTTCGATTGAGAAACTGACTGAGATTGCGCTAATGTCGACTAAGTTTGACTTTCATGATGGAAATTATATCACTTCTATATCCCAACTTCACAAGTTGCGCTCTGAGAGAAACTTGTGCAAAATAGAGAACTCTATGAGATGACTTTTGTTGGGAAACTCTATTAGTTAAATCCAGACTTATTTTGATTATTTTGTACTAGAGGTAGTCCATTGGTCGAAAATTCGACAAAAAATAGTTACAGACTTCTCTATTTTCATCCCACACTGTAAATAAAACATGTGATTGGAATCTGTTTTGATTTTCTGTTCATCTTTCTCTTTCTATTACGTTGTTATTTTCGTCACCATCATGGCAACCCAAAAGACCCGTGTTAATTTGTTGAAGTTTTTAAATTTATTTTTGTGCTTAATTTTAATTTATAAGATTCTGCACATCTACAGGAAAATATCTTTCTAACAGTATGCGTGGATTTTCCCTGCAATTCACACGACCTGAGAGAAAAGGTTTTAATGCTTGAGAAGAAACATGCTTGCCTATTGATGTATTGATGTATGTATTGAGGGACTAATACTTCAATGCCTATAGTCAACTGTATTTATCATGTTTGACTATGAATCGAACATATTTTATGTAAAAATCTATCTTAGTAACAAACAATCAAACAAAACGTCAGCAGCATGAACAAGTCAAATGGTTAAGTCAATGGTTATGCTCACTAAGATACATACGAAAATACTTCATCCACGTCTATATGTATTTTCTGCTACAAAGATTTTCGTGAATTGTGATTCAATCTTAACACAGTTATACTATCGAGAGTCGGGTTTTATAACTGGCTTCAGCTTTAGGATTGGAACTATGTGTCTATTTTACAGTAGGCTATATTCAATTATGATTCAAAACTGATTAACTATACAACTATTTCAAAATTGCAAAACACAGCCTGCTCTAGTTGATTTTTTGCCAACCCGTCAGTAACTCTCGGGTGATTGTGTACACGCAAGCCACTTCGTTCAACTTTTACGTATTTGGGATTAGCTTGGAAAATACAACGAAGTAGAATTCCCTACGAGATTTTTAATAGATTTAATGAAAAACAAAGACCCAATTAGGTAAAATTTTGTCACATCCGAATTCAACTTTCAAACTAAAATGGTGCAACATTTCAACATCGATTCGAAATGTGTGACAAACCCGTAATTGCTAGCTAAAAAATAAAAAATTGGATCTTTTTTTATGAAACAAGATTCAATAGGTCCTGCATGTAAGAAAATATATTTTTTTTTTAGTTGGACGAAAAATTCAGAGTGTCGACATAATTACGTTTAATTTTAATCAAAATTATTTTCCTGCAGTCACCCGACAAAGTGGGCTTCCTTGCACAGATTGCAGTACAGAAAGCCTTACTTTGGTGCACAACACTATGATTCCAACCAAACAACACAAAACATCGTGCTTTTATTATGCACGTAATCCGTGTACGCTTGAAAATAAGCTGGCAACACTTAAAGATATTACGACTACGATCAGCTGGTGCAGTGTTTCCCATTTCGTTCAATGTTTGGATTTATCCTAACCTAAAAACGTGTTGTATAGTGTTTGAAAGACTAATAATTATTTATATGATTTATAGTAACTGTAGGAAAAATGTGTAACACGAGTGCAAACTGCCTTCACCCACTAATTAGTTACACAAATAACTATCGTACCTTTCACCATACTTTAATATACACTTATTATGTTACGGACAACATAGTTTAGATAATGTTTCATTATTTTTGGAACTTCCAAATTTTTGAATGGACCCCTTTAAAAGCAATGTTTAATATTTGTCAAACAATAAATAAATCAGAATACTGTACCTATTTTAAGGAAAGCAAACAGCACCATTCCCTTTACTATTTTGATAATAACCTAACGATACAAACAGATTTTAGAATAGTTATTAATTTTTTAAATCTATGAAAAGCGACATAGACAAAAGTAACTCCAGTCCTTCATATTTGACACTGCAACTTATAGGATAGTCTTCTAACCAACAAATGCATAAATTTCTCTGCCATCGTATCATACGTATTACAGAAGCCATACTTATGTAATCTTATTTTATCGAACACATGCATTCACACCTTTTTCAAGCATACCTTACGATCCAAATACGATATTCTAACCTATTAGAAATATGTAAAGTATTTACCAGTGGAGGTGAAGGGAGAAGTTGCCGAAGAGTAGTCCGTTAAAGGATGTACACACTACCCCTACACATTCATGACAGAAATATTCGAGAAAGTTAAGGGAGAAAGTCGTAGCAGAGCGCGATCAGAAATAGAAAATAAAATTAAATGTAAACCAAAGCAACAAACGCACCATTGGGACTGGAGCAAGAGTTGTATCTCGATATTTCACCATGCTCTGTGTGGCAATTAGGAATGGCTTTGGCAAATTGAATAATCGTTTACATATTTATAAGCTGCGTTTTGAATTTAATTCTGTAAATGCTACATATTGATATATCGAGTCTTTTTCTGATGAAGTTGGTCAGGTAAATTTAGGTTGAATGTCACAAAAGTTAACAGAAGGTATATCATCAACATGTCAGACAGAGTGCGGCTGCCTACAGAGATTTTCAAAATTCTGGAGTCAGTTATGGTAGCAATTATTAGTAGCAGTGTAGTTATAAAATTATTTTAGAAAAAGAGAAGAATAATTAAATGTTGACCGAGTCTTAGGTTTAACGTGAATATGCTAAAGTTGCAGATATTTTTTAACACACTACTTTAACCTGTGATTTAATCAAGGCACTGATGCAGGTTAAGGAAACAGTGTGCAAGTGAATGATATGCACAAATTTAGGACATCAAGTACAATGACGGAATTATATTATAACGATAGATAATAGTTGTACTCACGTTTAAAGAACCTCCAGTGGCAGTGAAACCCTGAAAACATAAACCAAATTTTTAGAATTTCATTTAAATTACATCCACAACAGTTAGTTTAAAGTTATATTTGAATAAGGCGTTAACAATATTTTTTTCCTACAGTTACCTAACAATGTACATGTTCTCTCACTGATTTGAGAAAGCAAAGTGGCCAATTCGCTCATCAGTGAGACAATGTTAACATTGTCTCACTCTAATTACTTTGTCTCACTCCAGATTTGCAACGTGAAGGCACGAAATAGTGAGCGCGTAACATGCAGGCAACATCGTATGCGCGCGAAATACGTTGGCAGCACTGGCTGTAAATCAGCTGGTCAGCTGTTGAATTATTGTATTTGTCACTTCACATTAAATGTTATATTAAAAGTTCACTTCTGTGTAAAAAAAGGTTATGTTTCTTCACAAATTAATTTGTTTTATGGTAACTGTAGGAAAAATATAATGTGCAACTCAAGTGCAAAGTACAATTGCCTCACTCGAGAAACCATTCCTCACTCGCCTACGGCTCGTGAGTAAGGATTTCTCTCGAGTGAGTCAATTGCTTACTTTTCTCACTAGTTGCACAAATAACTATTTCCCGAACACACTTTTATAGCTTGGCAGTTCTAAATTAAATAAATAAGCTTGGTTTATATATTCTAAAAATAAAAATAAATTCTAAAAGCACGGTTTATAATTGGACTGTCCATCAAGTTAATATCTTTTTTTTATTTTACCCTCTACCCCTATACCATCTTTTTGTAAGTTCAATCAAGTACTTTAAAACCTGCTGAATATTTTACGGACACCCGCTGCATGCAGAAATTGTTTTTTCGAGTTTGAGTTTTGAGTGAATTTATCCTGGACCCAAATAGTGGTTTTCGAAGTAATGTGTGTATGTGTGGATGTGTACAGAGCTACAGACAGACCCCACCTTCAGTCCGATCTTGATGAAATTTGGTATGTAGGTACTAATCTATGTTATCTCCAGCATTTTTTCATATTTATTAAATGTTAAGTTTTAATGGTGATTTCCCTATAAAATAATGGAAAATTTTCTCGAAAATGGCCCAAACGATTTGAAAAAAAAAATTATAATGTTATAGGCCTATAAATTCTGAAGAATGGCAAAAATTCCATTTCCATAAAAATTACGGTTCAAAAGTTATTGTAACTTAATTATGTTATTTTCCCATAAAACCCCATAAAATAAAAAAAATTACTTTAGGAAAAAAGCCGGGTTTGATTAAAATTAGTGTGTTATGGTCCTTATAATTCTAAACAAAATAGTGCAACATTGCTGTAACAATTACGGTTCAAAAGTTATTGCAACTTTAGTGATATAAGATATCATCGATACTTCCGCCGCATACCCATGATAAAGGTTGTTGACAAGCTTATGGGAGAAAGTATGTGTCAGATTGATGATACCATTTATTTACAAGGATATTTAACTTTGAATAGTGCAAAAATACTTCTCATCACACAGTAAAATCTAAAGCCTAATTTTATTGAGTATTGAGTAATTTATGTTGACGTTTAAATTCGCCGATTTGAGTAAATATTTCTCTTTTATTTTAGGGCGGATTTTACGTTTCTCTACTTGATGGAACTAGATTTGAAATTGGGTTTTTATCAAGACATAGAGTCAACAAACCCCTTCTGCATAAATCGCACAGAAGCATTAAAATGTTCTTCAGGGTGGAAAATCTACAAGGGAGCATGTTAAATATACGCTAAACCTTTACAGCTGTCATGAACATATGACTACAAACTATAATGTCAGGAATCAGCTGTTCGCAAATTTCTACGTTGTGGGTACGAAATGAGTGGGCGCATCAGTTCGTGTTCGTGCGACTAAAACCTTAATTCAATAGTGATTATGTTGATTGTAGGGTTTTTATAAAATCATGGCTTGTTTCAGTGGATTTACCACTTCCCATCAAACCCCTGTCTGCGAAGACAAGATTGCAGTTATGTTGGTTAACTATCAATTTCACATTTTACGTTAATCTTTCGGTTTTGACATAAAATTATTTTCATTGCTGTTTTATGGGACGTGGCTGGTATATTCGAGCGAACTTCTGTTCTGAATGAAGACGAAAGTCCAAAGTCCACCAATCATTAACGACTTTTAGCCAAAGATAATTTCGTGGTTCTTTGGTCTCTGAACTAATTCTTCTATCTAGTAAACAAAAAAGGTTCTCTTATAATTAGTATAACATTTTCTGTAAAGGGGATTTTCTTGACTGAAAACTATGGACTAGTAATACGATTTTTGTGTAGGTACTGAATTCGTTCACTTAATGTTAAATTAAATTTTATATTCTACGGTGTTTTATGTTATTTCCAATTGGAATAGTAACCACACGCTTAATTGGTTATTCTATGGAAAATCTCTCCCTCAATATTCATCAAACTATACCATTAATGATGACATTTTCCCCTTAATCATTATGTTTCATCAATCCCTTACACGGTAAATCTTTTTAAATATAATATTTTGCACTATTTGGATTTTGTATACAGATTATTTTGTAAATGCTAATTGCTAAAAAACGCTATAACTTACATAACTCCACTCGTACAATAGAGGCAGTCCTGATGAAATGTTGGAAATTCACTAAATGAGGGAAATTGCAGACCTAATTGACATTTTGTGTTGTTTGGTTTCGAAGGCCGCCCAATGACTTGGGGATCAGGAAGGAATTTCAGACAAATTAAGTTCCGTCGTCATTTAGGAAAAGAATGCATCGGTATTTTCCTTATTTTGCTTCTGTTTTAGAAACTGGACTGATTTGTATACAGTTGAGATTTGATTGATGTTAGCTAGAAAACACAAACATGATGCCAAAAATCTGTTACAGCTAATAACTTAACGTGTAAATAATGTGAGCCAGACTGATCGCAACTGCGTTTGCCATTACTTGCCATACTTAAAGTTTTAGGAATCCTTTGATAATATATTTGAATCCAGGCCTTCAAATGACATCCCCGCACTAATCACTAGAACCCCTCAAATCTAGTTAGTTATAAAAACTTTACAAGACCCATTGTTTAGTCACAATATTAACAGTTACTTAGTATATGTTCTCACAATTGATCGTAAGATCAGACTGCATGCAAGAACTTGATAAAAGAGTAATGCCCTTTTCGTACGGTAAAAATCCTTCAGTAACCTCTCTATGGTCAGCAACGTATAATTTTGTATGCAAATCTTGTAGAGGAAGGTTCAAGTTCACACGAGATAGATGGCTGGGAATCCCACACCATCTTCAAGGATTTAGGACCACTTTGTGTTGGTAGTCGGTGTACAGAATAGGATTGTTGACATCACTGAGTCCTTTGGGGATACTGAATGTACCTTAGAGAAGAAAGAATTGCCGTAGTCAATAGGCTTCCACAAGATATAAACCTTGGAGACACACATTAAAACTAGAACAAATTCTGACAGTAAGTATAAATACACATTTGGGATTTATACGTAACTGAGGGGTTTTTTATGCAAATTTACATGTAAGATTAAAGTTGTATGAGCTATTACAGCTGTTGTTGCCAACAGTACTTTATCCAGGACCAAGTACATCTAGGTCCAGAGTCAAAACATGAAGAAGCTACAGACTTTTCTGTTTCAACCACAAAGGATTTAACTTCCAGATTGTTATGCGAGTACTATTACAACTTAGCTGCCCAGATGAATACACAAATTCTGCGTTCATGCATAAAAATCTGCATTAAATCTGCTATCAACATAGTGTACACTGATAACTCTACAAGGGGAATGTGTTATACATACAGATGAACACTAGTGCGTCACACACGACACTGTCTAGATCTGTTGACGATACTGTACATGGGTGGTAAAAGCATTACTACAGCAATTTGCATGCCATCACTTCTGCAATATAAGGTGGATTGGCCTCTACGCTACCGCGTTGGCCAACTGCCAAATCGGCGATACAAGCTTTGTAAACAAATATGAAGATTATCTAGGTAATATCAACAGAATTATATCTGTCAACAGTACACACTGGTGTTTTTTTACTGGACGTAGTTTTACAGATTTTACATATGTGTCGTTGTAAAGCTGCATACACAATAATTGGCAAACGTTCGCAACGAACATGTCCGTTTTTACGCCAAACTAGAAAAAAACGTATGAAATTTCTAAAAAATTGTTACTATTGAATTAGACTCTAAGCCAATTACTTATCTCCATAAGGTTGGAATTCAATCTATATTTTCAAGAATAAGGTGTCCAAATTTTACCAATAAAGTTATGCCAATGGTAACGATTTTCTAATTATTTTTCCAAAGAAAATCTACTGTATGTACACTGTACAGTATCTAGGATTTGTACAGATTTACATATTTCCGTGTCGATATGTATCATTGTACATACTACAATAGCTGTACTTTGTAGCATAATAGGTATGAAAAGCTAATGAAAATATAGAACTTCAATAGTAGAACCGCACCATATGGGTGAGTGGCTTTGATGTCTCAAAATATCCCCAAACAATGTTCTCTGTACTCCCTTATAAAAGCGTACTATAATTGGGCAAGGGATACAGGATGTACTCGAGCAGTATCCAAAGTCAATGACGTTGTAACGCATATGGCATGGCGTGATCATTGGTCCTTGGGACTTTGCAGTGATTTTATGTTCCGCTTTTAATAGATCCGAATGGATAATTAGCTCATAAAATGAGTCGTTAAAAATTTAGGAACATCGTAGTTCCAACAACGTGCAACGTTCTATCAGTTCGCGAACCCTTTTTCAACTTCATCAATAAAAATTTCACTATTTATCAACACGCAAATATAACCTGAGAAAAGTATGTAGCTTTTTGGTGGCTTGAAACTGGACCTAGCTGTCCTTGGGGCTTTTAGCTTTAACAATGGAAATGTCAATCCTTATTAGTGCATTTTAGTGTATATCGTATCAAGAATAATTTTTAATCTCCAATAATCATATCACTATACTAACATTATATATTTATTTCAGCTCCTAAAAC